TCCCACGAAATTCTCAACGAGATCTCACAGCGCAACCCTGAGCTTTTCAAGACTCACGTGGGAGGGCTGTGCAAGGGTCTCATCGAGCAAGCTCCCACAGAGACCAACGAGAACGATTCCAACGTTGTCGATACCTTGAAAGCTTGTGCTTCATACTCAAAGAAGTACCCAGAAGAGATTCCTCAAGACCGAAAATTCTCACAGGCTCTTGTTAGCTACGCTCTGTATGGACGGCCTGTGAAGTCTGCCAAGTATGCCATCAAGATTCTCCTGGCCAAGGGCGACGACAAAGGCCTAGTCAGTGCAACCAGCTTGTTGGAGAAGATTATGCAAGACTGGACCTACGGCTCAGCGCACTTCCTCAACAAGCTCCAGTCTGTCGCACAGCTGGAATTGCAAGTGCCCAAGATTACCCTCGATTCAGATGATGACATCCTCAACATGACGGTGCAGCAAATTTTGCTCAAGGTCCGAACAGACGCAACAGACAAAGACCCCGAGTGGGTGGATGACGCTAGCGTGGATGAGGAATTGCAAGCGAAGTGCCTGTCATTGCATATTCTCGTCAACCGACTGCGCAGTATGGACGATGTCGAAGAGGCTAAAGAGAAGGCCGTACCTGTCTTCAAGCTGCTCAAGACATTGGTCGCGAAGAGAGGAGAGCTCTGCAAGACGAAGGATACTCCCAACCACCACAAGTCACGACTTCGTCTGCTAGCAGCTCAGCTGTTGCTGAAGCTATGTACCATCAAGCATTTCGACGACTTCCTGACGCCGGCCGATTTCAACCGTCTCGCATTCACGGCGCAGGATACCGAACTAACTGTTCGCCGGGGTTTCATCGAGAAGCTCCAAAAGTACCTTGTGCAGAACAAGCTCCGGGCACGCTTCTACACCATCATCTTCTTGACGGCATTCGAGCCGAACAACGATCTGAAGCAGCGCGTTGAGACCTGGATCCGGTCCCGGGCTCGCGCATTGGGGGCGAATGAACAGCACCCTATGGAGGCGATTATGGGACGACTCATCTCTTTGCTGTCTCACCATCCCGACTTCAACAAGCCAGAGAATATCGATGATGCCAGTGCAGAGGAATTGAGCTCATACGCCAGCGACCTAGCGGACCATGGCCGCTACATTCTGTACTATCTTACAAATGTGGCAACGGAAGAGAACTTGGGACTCATCTACAAGTACGCTGAAAGGGTGAAGCAGACTCGTGATGCGATCAGCCCGGAGGCGAGCGAGAATCTTTACATTGTCAGCGATTTGGCCCAGGCCGTTGTAAGGAAATGGCAGGAGAGGAAGAATTGGAGTTTCCAAGCGTACCCGGGCAAGGTCGGGTTGCCGATCGGCCTCTACACTGCCTTGCCTTCACACCAGGTCGCCCAGGAGATTGCCGAGAAGCAGTACCTGCCGTCAGAGATTGATGAGAAATTGGACGGTCTGTTCAAATCAATCGATCGAAAGAAGGTAAGCCGACAATGTCTCCCATGTTGCCCGATCTCTAAGCTTACAAAATTACAGAAGAGAAAGTCTACAGATGATCGTGGAGACCACCATCCAGCCAAGAAGGCAAGGTCAGCCCCGAGGGTCAGGGAGCCTAAGGCACCAAAGGAACCTAAGCCGAAGAAGCAGAAGGTCAAGAAGCCCGCCAAGGTCAAGGCCCCGCGCCGCGAATCTGACATTCCCCTGGAAAATCGGAGACGCAGCGGCCGTGCTGCTACCACTGCTGTATCCAAGTACACCGAACGCGACTCATCCGACGACGACCGTGAGATGTGGGACGGCGTCAGCAAGTGGACGTACGAGAATGAAGATGGAGAACAGACGGAGGTGTCAGATGACGATGATGACTCTTCGGTTCTCTCGGAAGCCCCAGAGGAAGAAAATGGCGAGGGGGCTAAGAAGCCAACAGCTGCTGCCGACGACAGCGGCGATGATTCGCCGTTGTCCGAGGTTGAGGACGTTGCGACAGAGGAACCAGAGAAGGAGGAAGTAGAAGCAGACGACGAGGAAGAGCCGGAAGAAGCTACGCCACCGCCCAAATCCAACGGGCGAAAGGGCAGGTCGGCAGCAGCATCAAAAGCGGCAGCTAAGACTAAACTACCAGCCCGACCTGCAGCCAAAGAGAAGCCCGCTCCGAGAGCGACGAGGACGTCGGCGCGGAGCACCCGTGGGAGGGCCGCCCAGGAGTCGATGGACGTTGATGAGAGTGACTGATCGAGGGCGGGAGTGTACAAAAAGTTTCATCTTCATTGTTGCGGTGCTTTTCAATTGGTTTTAGGCATGGCTATATGTTGGCTTATGGAGGATGGATATCCCCTGCGGTGGTTGGGTGTTTTGAGTGCGCCGCCTGCGAATGCAGCTGAATCCATCATTTGCAGCTGCAATGTACTCTCGTTTCCATGCTTTCTGTCGAAACTGTCAATATACCCATGCTGCTGAAATAATTCAATCCATGAGTTATCATGTGCAGGAGGCATTATTGTGCTTCCAACTGGTTCGAACTTGTCACGAGCTTTTCCGTGGTAATATTTGAAGAGTAGCTTCCATTGCATGTGGCCGTACACAGTATCCGTGCTCCCTACGTTACACTCCGTAGTCTCTCTGACCCTGCGGGATATGGGGAACAGCAAGCTACACAAAGGAGCTCTACCATTAATTTGTGTGCAAGGAGTCCATGAGCTCTGTTGAAGCTTCTTCTGAAACTATTAACACCCTCAGGTGAGGTGGATGGCAAACACGGTGCTCAGCACAGCCAGGGTGGTCAGCTTGCAGCGACATGGCTTATGTTATCATATTTCTCTTTTCTGTTCTTGCCCTCTCACCAATCTTCCTTTCCATTCATGGATGGACGGGATCCCGATTGAAGCGGACCGGGATGTCATGTCAAAACTTGACCAGGAACGTAAAGAGTCTTTCCAGAGGCTACCTGCCTCAGTGACTACAGATAGTAATGAACTACCCGAGGCAAGTGAGGTCGAGCTAATGAAGATGGAAAGGTTCAGGAAGCTACCACTAATTTGCACCTGCCTCCCTTGACTTTGATAGAACGGGAAGGCACCTCAGGTTCTCCCCAGGGTTTCATAAAGCTTAACCCTGCCCAGTCAACCCGAGTGCAAAGAACCTAGAGCTCCCATCTTCAACTAGGAAACTTACGCCGCCTGACTTGCGGACCTGACCTCTTGTTCTACCACTGTTGGGCCGCTCATTCACAGCCCATTGTCTTGCTTGCAGTGCAGAATGACCTGGCCGGATATCGACTATCTTGAGCTGCCCAACGGGCGAACCATTACCGTTTGCGCATCTCATCACATGGCCACCTGCGGAAAATGTTGTCTTGACTTCAGCCATGACTTCGAGTACGACGAAGACGGAAACTACTTGGACGAGGATGACGAAGAAATCTTTGGCTTTGACTACGACTCTCGCCTTCCCAGGGATGTCAGCTTCGCTCATGTTGCGAGAAGCCGATATGGCCGTCCTGAGAGAATCACTGCGAGCGGATCTCGGAGATCCTCAGCGCGTGTCCAGTCTACTTGGGATGATGAAGATGACGACGACAGCGATGGTCCGCCGCCCCTCATAGACGACGATGAACTGATCTCCACCGTTCGTATGGGGGAAGGCCCAAAGATTGTTCTCGGGGCACCTACTCTCAACCCATCTGTCTCTTGCCGCAGTGAATTCTCCGGCAAATTGTTTCCCTTCAAATTCAACCCGCACCACGACCCGCAGACCAGTACGCCTTTGGAGCCCAAAGAACTTTTCCTTCCGAAAAAGTCCTCGATAGCTATTCCATCTGTTATCCGCTTCATCAATCGCTACGACGACTCGGAAGTTCTCATTTACACCGACGGGGCCTGTCTTGACAATGGCAACGCTGCAGCCCGCGGTGGCTCCGCCTTCATCTTCAAGCCGGTACTCCCCAATGACGAGAGCGGGTGTGTGGCCTTCAAGCTCGAGGACAAGGGGCCAGACGGCCAGACATACCGCCACACCAGCAACCGCGCCGAGCTGCGCGCCGCCCTCGCCGCGCTCCAATTCAGGGCCTGGTGGGGTGAGGGTTTCAAAAGTATCGTCATTGCCACCGACTCAAGCTACGTCGTGAACGGTGCCACCGACTGGGCTCGCGCGTGGATCAAGAAGGGCTGGCGAACAAGCGCCGGCGAACACGTGAAGAATAGGGACCTATGGGAGGCCCTGTTGCTTAGGAGTGAGATACTTCACGACAACAATGTCCACGTCCGCTTCTGGTACATTCCTCGCAAGTTCAATAACGAGGCTGACAGGGCTGCCAAACGCGCGGCTGCAATTGTTGAGCCGACTGTTGAGTTTAGCGAAATAATGGGGGTTCTCGTTTAAATCTACGGTATACGCTGTTTCTCGGCTCCTTGATTGGGGGTACCATCGACGACTTGACGATTACCCGCCCATCAGACCTCTAGCAACGAAAGACATTCTTTGCTATTTTCAACGCTATGAATAACCAGGCGTAGGACAAGGCTTGGCAACGCGGTATTCAAGCACTCTTCGCCTTCACTATCATTATGAGACAGTATAATTTGGGGCTTCCCCGATACGACACTCTGAGCGTTGAGTGTGAGGGAGGATGTGAGGGACTTACCGTGTAGCTATATGGTAGGGAGCCCTCTGTGCGAATGGGATCACACATACGGCAAGGCTTTTCTAACGATCAGACCTAGACTGGGGCTTGGCTCCCCATTGTTATCAAGCACTTATTCTTAAAAACGTTACGGTTCACTGATGCATATTAAGGCTTGTGTCATGGTCTGGAAAAGGATGATTTTGTATTGACAGGCTCCTAATCCATGCGCAGAGCTTCCTATGAAATACCCGTGATAGGTGTATTCCCACCCTTGAGTGAACCGTTATGCGAATAAGCACTTAAGCCATCGACACAACTAACTCTAGCGGTACTCTACCTAGCACAGGCCCCTCGCAAGAAACACCAACACGACGAGAAGAGGGCGCACTTAGTAGAGGCGCTTGGGGGGAGACATGGAAGCCTTGATGGTCAAGCTTCCAACGTTCTGCCAGCCCTTCTTCAGCAGGGAGACGAGGTAGTTGATGGCCAACATGATGTTGGCAATCAGCTGCTCCTGGGTCATGCCGACGTTGCCGACGGCGACACCCATGCAGAGAACCTTCTTCAGCTGGAACTTGATGGTGGACTTGACCTCGGTGATCTTGCCAGAGAGATCGTCGGCGTGGGAGACGGGGGTGGGGAACTTGCCGGCTGCGAAATTGTTAGATACGGGTTCAAGTCTGAAATAGCAAAAGGGGAAGTGAAGGAACATACCCTTGGACAGACCGGGACCCAAGAGACGGGGGATCTGCTTGATCAAGGTCTCGGAAGCGACGAAGGCGTCGTACTTGCGAGCGAGCTTCTTGATGAGCTTCTTGTTCTTGTTAAGCTTCTTCAAGTCGTCGGCGGACATGGCGTCAACACCACCGTGCTTGGCACGATCGATATCGTGCTGGTCACCGAGAATGCAGATGCTCATGTTGGGGCGGGGGACGACCGGGAGGCGGACGGTGCCGGAGAAACGCTTGTCACGCTGGGGGTCATAGTTCTTGAGGCCGATCTGAAGCTCGACAGACTCCTGTGAGGGGTATTAGCATTTGCTGATTGCTCCGCTTCGGTCGCGGACTTTGCGCTCAATTGAGCGACAGAGGTGGGTAGACTGACGAGGAAGTTGCGCTTCTTGGTCTCGAGAGAGTACTCGAGCAGCTCAGAGACCTGAGTGCGGACGTTGGCAACCGTAATTTTCGACATCTTGGCGATATCTCCCAGTAATCTGGTGCTTACGGTAGATGTTGGATGGTGATGGGGTTGAAGGGGAAAGAAAAGCAGCCGGGGACAAATTTCGGCGGGGCGGCTTATTCTTTTTCAATTAGGGCAGGGAAAAAGTTTGGCCACACCACCGTGTGTGGGTGGAGTGGACCGTGCGCGCGACGTTCCAGAAGATGCAGGCGATTGGCTGAATGTCACTGGGAGACAGGAGCGCAAAAAAAAAAAAAAAAGTCAGTCGGGACCCTGGCGTTTTGGTGCCCCGCGATGAGTCTTCGCCGGCGCGTCGAGTTAATGCTACGAACCACGTGCTGAAAACTCGTGGTACCTAGAATTTTCCCGTGTCCGATACGAAGCACCTCGAACGACGAGGCCTTCCCAAATCGGAGATTCTTATGTAAGATCTGAAGCAAATCAGAAATTTGAGTGCACTCATTTCCGATACTTACACGCCGAGTTGTAGACGACAGACGAAAGGAAAAAACACACCCCTGTTACTCACTCGGCCAGCACTCATTCGCTTCGCCGCTGCCCCTCGGTGCCCCTCCTTCTACCCAACTCTCAGAGTCACTCGCCGGGTTCACCAATAATGCGATAGCGATGAAGCAGGATACCGTCCCCCAGTACGAGAGCTTCGTCAACCCGAGTGACCTGCTCAAATGGGTTGAGGAACAGCCCGAGGAATCGTGGATCTCGTAAGACATTTCCCCCAGTCAATACCCCTCCAAAGTGAATGGTCCGAGCGTAGTATGTGTGTTAACATCATTTTTGCAAATAGCATCGCGCAAAATGTTTTTGACCACCTCCTCTCCCTGGCCGCTCAGCCAAAGGGAGTCTCGGGCAACTCATGCGTGAAGCTCTGCGGATTTGTCGAGCAAAGCTCAAAGTCCGACAAGTCAGCCCTGCGGCAATGGGCTTTTTCCAAAGAGCCCAGCCTGGGTCTCTTCAACTTCTTCATCAAGTGGAATGAGACAGAGCAGCACCGGTCCATGAAGCTGGTCCTGGACCTGCTCCCCTCGCTCATCCGCCGTAACCCCGACCATGCTGTCTCTGACCTGGTCAAGACGACCATCTTGGACACCCTCATCTCCATCATTGGACCGCAGTCCACCAAGCCTTTGGTCAAGTCGTCGCTCAAGGCCATGGACTACTTTGCCGGCAAGTCCGTTTTTAGCGTCGAAGACATTGCGGCGAGTTATAAGCGGACGCAGCCAGAGTGCAGCTGGGCGTCCGACATTGCACTGTGGGAGGACTTTTTCGGCCAGATGCTCGACTGGATGACCATGCACTACGTGTGCCCGACTACGGGCAAGTTCATCGTGACCATTTTCAGGGCACTGAGACAGCAGTCTCTAAAGACGCCGCAAGCTGCAGGCGCTGAACAGTTCAGCGTTGAAATGTGGCTTCGCTGGGTCCAGGCTGCCATTGCCAAGACGCCGTCTTTGCTTGAGGGTATCAAGACGTATGTTTTCCTTCCGTTATTCAAGGATGACCGCAAAGACTCGGTCCAGATCCTGGAACAGATCAACAGCATGTGGTCTACCTCTGGCTCGGCCGTGGCTGAGCTAGACACTCTGGCCCAACTGAACCTCGCCGTGCTGGAGGTTGGTAAGAAGGTAGGCATGGTCGAGGAGCCCGGCGCCATCTACAGAGAGGAGTCCTCTTCAGCGGTAGTCTTGGAATCGGCCGTGCTCGAAAGGGTTCTGTCACATCCTTCCCATGAGCTCCGCTCGCTGGCGCTGTCCCTCATCGTCGCCTCACCTTCAACGACGAGGCCTTACTCACCAGTGGCCCTCCGCCTGCTGCAAGCCCATCTCCCGACGTACTTCTCGGAGTCGGACGCAAAGTTCCGCATGGAACTGCTGAGCAAGCTCAAAGATATGTTCAAGCGCAGCAGAGGCGCAATCTTCATCCTGCATAAGAGTCTGGCCCGTCTCAAAGCCTTTGACGGCGCTGCCAATGGTGCGCCAAAGGCCCCTAAGGCGCCGCCGAAGCAAGCGAACCACCGCACCAACATCTTGCTCTGGCCAGAGGATAAGCTGCGAGCGAGCTTGGAGCAGCACGAAAGCTTTTTGGCGTGGTACATTGCATTTTTGCGGTCTGAGCTGATCCCCACAGCCTCTTTCCAGCGGCACTTTACCGCGCTAAGGGCCGTTGCCTTCATCCTCAAGCTCGAAGCCGACGCTGGCAAGACGTGGGAGACGGAGGAGGACGAGACCCTCTTCTTCAACCTGTTTGACGGGAAGTGGACGCGCGCGCTCCTCGACCTCATTATGGACCCATTCGACGACGTTCGGGAGAACGGTACGTCTGTCCTCAAGAACTTGTTTGGCGACAAGCGCTTCAAGTGTCTCGTTGGCGCACAAGGTGTCTCACCGACACTGGAAGAGTTCTTGTTGAGAGCCGAGGATATTGCGCGGAGGACGGCGCGAGCTGATCACGCTGATGGCGTTGCTCGGACAAACGAGCTTCTCTTTAGATTCTATGACGGCAGGGAGGCGCAGATTGCGCATATTTCAAAGTTGGTGGATCTTCTTGAGGGCAAGCTCGCCTTTGCAGAGGCCGATCTGGGCAATGCCGTTCTTGAGGCGCCGGTGCATGGCTACTACGCTTCTCTCCGGTGGGTGCAACAAATACTATGCCTCCTTCGAAAGGTGTCGTGGACTGACCGAGGATTAGGTATATCTGGCAAGCTGCGGCTGATATGAGCTTTTCGGCGTCCGAGATGGAAGCAATGGCTATCCTTCAGAACCGCATTGTCAAGTGCTGTCAACGCATCTGGGCTGCGGTCAGAGACATTCTGTGCGACGACTCACCCGAGGGCCACTTGCCCCAGGAGCTGGAAGATCTCGAAGGTCTTGACACCAAGGACCTGCTGAGCTACAGCTTCCGCGCCATCCACGAGTCCAGGTAAGTAATAAGAGTCTACATAATGCTGTGTATATATCTCGTCTAACATGCTACTCAGTGCTCTGATGCGTGTCATGGTCCTGCCTCTCAAGTCCAAGGCTAAGGAAGGAATTCTGCGCCCCTCGACCGACCTCTTCACAACTGTCGGATCCTTGACCTTTGACCAGCTGTCGAGCCTCAGACACCGCGGTGCCTTCAACACTGTCTCGCTGTCGTTCGCAACCTGCTGCCAGCTGGTCAAGCACCTCGATGACCCTCAAGCAGGCCACGAGAACGGCGAGACCCTGCTCGACGTCTGGTACAGGGGAACTAAGGAGTGCATCTTTTCCCAAGCATCCACTACCCGCCGCTCTGCCGGTATCCCCGCCATGATCACCGGAATAGTCTCGGCCAACGCGCCGCAGCCCTCCTTCGACGTCGTCATCGAGGAGCTCGTCGCCATCGCCCGCAAACCCGCCTTCAACTCCGAGTCGGACGGCTCCAAGCTGCCCCAGGTCCACGCCCTCAACTGCCTCAAGGACATGTTCAAGAGCTCCTTCATCACCCAGCTCGGCAAGTCGGCGCCGCACATCCCGCAGTGCCTCGACCTCGCCGCCGGCAGCCTCAAGTCCGAGGTCTGGGGTATCCGCAACTGCGGCCTCCTCTTCCTCCGCTCTCTCCTCGACAACCTCTTTGGCACAAACGAGAGCAAAGCCACCCTCGAGGCCGGCTGGGATGGCCGCACAACGCGCCTGCAGTACCACAAGTTCCCTATCCTGCCCTCCGTGCTATTGAACCTCCTCCGCTCCGGCCGCGAGGTCATGAAACCCACAACGCTGGGAAGCACCATCGCCGCCGAGTCCGTCTTCCCTGCCCTCGACATCATCCGCCGCGCCGGACCCCCCGACGCCTCGCGCGACGAGCTGTACGGTCTCGTCGCGGGCTACCTCGCCAGCCCCGTCTGGCACGTCCGGGAGATGGCCGCTCGCGCTCTGTGTTCTTTCCTCCTTAAAGACGACGATTGGGTCAGCCTTGCCGAAGCCATCATCAAGGACTCCCTCGCCGCGGCGCCCGCCAGCAGGAACAACCACCTCCACGGCGGCCTGCTGACCGTCAAGGCGGTCTTTGAGCGGCTCTCCGACGTCTCGCCTCAGAGACTGTCGTCTGGCCTCCCGCGCGTGGTCTCGATTCTCGGCAGTCTCGAAGCTAGCGCGTCTGACTCCTTTGCCTCCTGCCCAGACATCCGCGCCGCTTACCTGGAAGTCCAAAACCTCATCTCCCTCTTCGCCCTATCTTACCCGTCATCATCATCACCGTCATCACAGGGCGCTGCCTCCTCCACCATCTCACAATCCCCACAAAGCGCCCTCCTCCGCACCCAACTCGCCATCGCAGCAGTTCACGCCGCCCAAACCTCCTCCTCGCCCTCCGCCTCCCTCCGCGAAACCCTCCTCTCTACAAGAACAACAAGCGTAGAGACAACAATTACAACCCTCGAAACCCTCGCCTCGGTCCATCACCCGCACCTGTCCCCCGCGGAAGCAGCATCCTACGCCGCGCTGTACACCGACGTAGCCTGCTCCGCAACACACCCAGACTCCTGCGCCGCCGCCCTCGTCAACCTCGCAGAGGTCCTGGACCTCGTCCTGGCGGCAGCAACGGCCTCCCGCGATGCCGATGCCGATGCCAACTCTCGACAACCCTCAAACCTCCTCCCCTCCCCCGAGACCCTGACACAGCTTTGGCAAGACCTCCTCGCGAGAACAATCAACCCAAACCTCTCCAACGCAATCACCCGCGCCAGCGGCCCCATCATGGCATCCCTCGTCTCTCAATCTCCCGCTACCTCATCCACCGCGCGCTCCCTCCGCGGCTGGGGCAACCTAATGTCCTCGGCCCTCCACGACTCCCGCCCCTTTGACACCCGCATCGCCGCAGCAGCCTCCCTCGCCTCCTTCTTCTCCGCAGCAACCTCAACCTCTTCAACCACCGCAGACCAACACCAAGCAGAAGCAGAGGCAGAAGCACCCCTCCTCCCCGCCCTCATAGCCCTCTACGACGCCCTCAACGACGACGACGACGAAGTCCGTGACCTCGCCTCCCTCTCCGCAAAACACATCCTCTCCGCGCCCCTCGCGCCCCTCGACGCCGCCTCCTCGCTGCTATCCTACATCGCAACCACCTACCGCGACAGTCCCGCCCTCCACTCCCTCCTCGCATCCCGCGTCACGGGCCAGGTCTCCTCAGATGCAGCCAACGACACAGAGACCACCGCCGCCACACAATGGTCCACCGCGGAATCACAACTCTCCGCCGCCCTCCGCTTCGACGACTCCCTCTTCGCAATCGAAGAGCAGAACCTCTTCATCGACGAGGTTCGCGAATCGAAGCGCTGGGCCGCCGTTTTCCAAGACGTCTCCTCCTCTATCTCGGATTCTTCCTCAACGTCGGCAGCAGCGGCGCACAAAGCCCTCACAACATGGACATCCGCCGGCCTCGACGCCCTCCTGGCCCTCACATCCCAACCATCCCACGCAGACGACGGACCGCTGGGCTGGACTTCGGACCCAGACGTCTACGCAGTCTGCGCGCGCGTCCTCCTCGCCGCGACGGCACTCACCAAGGTCAATGTAGTCGGCGGCGGCGTCGATGGGTCCGAGGCGCTCAAGGAGAAATTGAAAAAGTTGAGGGACGTTGGTCAGCGGGGGAGACTTCATGGGTTATTGTTGGAGATGATGGGTGCATGAAGTCGACGAAACGTGAGATATCATAGACAATGGACGGTTAGATGATGCAAAGGACAAAAGCATGCTCGGATGAGAAAAGTTTGAGTTCATTTAGGTGCTTCGTGTACAAATGCTTTGGAAAAGGTACATGGCGATAGACATGGAAAATAGACGGGAAAAAAGAGATGAAGTAAGTAAAAAAAAAAAGGCTATAAAAGGAAGGCTGAGACGCCCCGAACGCCATTGGATGCTCATGCGTCATCTCATCTCGTCTACAGAGATCTCTCTGTCTGCATCAAGCTGGGTATCCTGTCCTGCAGCTGACATATCTCCCCTCCCTCTGTCTCTCTCTCATCGTCGTACACTTTACACGGCCCTTAGTTGGACACAGTCTGAACCACCTTTTCTCCCGATACACTCAACGACGAATCCTGTCTCTTCATACCGCCCATCCCACCCATCTTGCCCATCTTAACAACCAGCATGGTATTCTGGCTCTGCAGCTGACCCACCTGCTCCTTGAGGACGTCAATCTCCTTGAGCGCCACATCCCGCTCCGTCCTGATGCGCTCGAGCTCCAAGGCCAAGTTTGCCTTCTCCTCCTTTTCTGCCTGCTTCCGCCGCTTCTCCTCAGCCTTGCGCTGTTCGTGCTCGCGGCGCTGCTCGAGGCGCTGCATGTCGCGCTTGTACTTGTCTTCCTGCTTGGCCATCTCCTTTTCGTGCTTCTCGCGGAGCTTTGCCAGGTTGGCGACCTCCTTTTGCGAGTCTTGGTCACGCTTACTAGACATGCGCTCTTGCATCTTGTTGATCTTGTCTTGCATCTTCTGGCGCCGCTCCTGGAGTTTCCTGAGCTCTCTCTCGTGGTGCGACGACGTCTTAGACCCTTGGAGGGACGCGCCGCCGCCAGATCCGGACGAGTGAAGCGACACGCTGTCAGGCTGCGTAACCTCTGGTGGCGTGATGGGCTCACCCTCGTCCGTCTTCTCGACCGCTGAAGCGAAGCTTCGGATGGACGACGTGTCGCTTTGAACCGACTCATCCTCTTCATCTTCCTCCGCTATCGACCCGTTGGTACTTGGTGCAGTGAATATTCCGGGTAAAGCGTAGCCCTCTGGTAGGCGACTAGCCACAACGGAGCTAGCCATTCCGAAAGCACCGGATATGATGCCGTACAGGCCGTTACTACTCGGGACGGAATTATCCTGCACCTGTGCTGACTCTTCAGGTAACAAATTTGATGTTGGTTGCTTGGCCACCTCCCTTGGAGAAGCAACCTTTTCGCTCTCGGCCTGCTTAGCGCCTTCTTTCGTCTCCTCCTGTTCTTTGTCTGAAGTTGAAAAGTCATCTGCGGACTTCGCAGTCATCCACTTGAGGAACTTGCCGGCATCTCCAATGATGCCTGCCGGTGTACCCCGATCAATCAAGAATCGGGGCACGTTGCCGCCGGGATCACTACGAGTCACCATAAGCCACTCAACAGACGTCGTCGCCTCCTCCTCGATGCCTTCGCCGGTGTGCCCAGCGTCGTCTCTGGCAGGTGCACTGTCAACAGATGTACCTCGATGACGGCTGTCTGGATCTGCTGTCTTTTTCGCTGCCCGTAGAACGGCCTCCTTGCCCATAGACTCAGCTACAGCTTGTCTTTCTTTGGCGCCTTCCTGACTGAGATCAATCGACGATCGTGCTCGCGTGATCGCAGCCGGCTTGTCGGACGGGATCTCGCGAATGATTTCGACCGACTCATATTGGCCTCGAATATAGCCTGGCCGCTCGGGGCACTCGGGATGAATGCATGGTTTCGACACAATCATGTAGGTCCGGAGCGGCCGCCTAGTACCTTCTTGCGGGGCGCCGCCGGAAAAGTCGGAACTCAGCAGTAACGTCACAAAGTCTCTCGGAGCCGTCGGGCCTGGGAATTGCGCCGACAATTGGAATACTGAGCAGATGTTGTAAGCATTTGGCACTGAAGTCTCAAGTGGTGTTTTCCTTGCTCACCTTCCATTTTTCCAGAGCCTTCCACAACCTCATGTGCCGCCCGCTTCTCTGCTCCAATGCCGCGGATGGCGCCGGCGCCGGGCCCGCTCTGCACCTTCATGGACTCGGCAAATTCTCTCTCGAGGCCCAGCTTCCACTTCTCAAAACTTAAGCCATCGTGAACGCTGCGCCGGGCGAACCAGCTGCCCTTGCCGTCCTTGGCGGCGAGTTTATACACGTTGATTGCTAGCGGGTTATCCTTGGCATTGACCTTGACCTCCTTCCACTCTTTGGACAGGTCCTGCGACAGCTTCAGCGCCGCACCGGTCTGGCGCTGGGACAGTGAACGATTGATGTCGGCGACAGGTATCGGGGGGTCGGTGTGGGAGCGGGATCGGCCGTGGGAAGCAGCGGCCTGCTTAACGGCGGCGGGGACGGGGATAGAGTCAATAACTGTTTGAGCGTTGGCAAATACGCCGGTCATGAACTCTTCTGGATCCTCCTCGGCGACAGATTCCCACTTGATAGGCGCGAGGCCTTTGAAGGGCTCGTGGTGAGGTGCCATTGTGTCTAAGAGTGGCGGTTGGCGTCGAGGGCGAAACGGAAATGTGTCGTGTTTAAGAAGATGTCATAGCCCAGGTCGTCCGACGAAAGCGAGTAGTGTAGAGACTAGCCGGTGGTGTCTGTGAAGAGGAATTACAGACGGAGATTTTCAAATGACAAAAGGTAGCGAGATTCGTATAGTGTATGGTTATCGTCGGGGTCCGGACGCGACCGAGGCGCTGGGAAAGGGGAATGTTCGTGGGGAAGCAAGGTAGATGCTGTTTGGTGGTTTGTGGATGAGAGTGGTGGTCAGTGGTCGATTACTGTGCAGAAATGGAGACGAAATAAAGCTTTGGATGACCTGCAAAGAGTGCCCCACGTGTGGCTTAAGAGTAAAGAGTCAAGGAGGAAGAAGACAGGTTTGGGAGAGAATCAGGTGCTGCGTAAGCCACAGTTACTCGGGAATTGCTGGAATAAAGGTGCATGCACGAAGTACGGAGGATGGAGTATGGATAGCGTCAACGGGAATGGGATCACCGATCATGGGCCTTACCGGGGTGCCAGGACTCAGTTGGGAAAGGAGTCTTGGAGGGGCTTTGACGTCTCTGGCCGACCCGAGCGGACCTAATGCTCCCGTCCTCTCTCTCTCTCTACCTTATTGTGTACTATTTTGTCAGGTGCGTTACGGTTGACCATGTTCCATCATGTTCAATGCGCCCTTGTCCTTTACGTCCGGTGCAACACTCCTTCCGTCTCCTTGGGAAGAGGCATCTACGGATACGTATCTAATCTTGCCTCGGATTCTGCCCCAATGACGAAGTAACACAAGGTAAGCACGGTAAAAGCACCTAAATGGAAAGGGCCCGGCAGCCAATTCTTGCTCCTTGCTCCTGCTGTGTTTGCTTTCCCTTCACCGCGCTTCTCGCATTGGCTCGACCCTGGCGCTGACGTCACCCCCTGTCCATGTACACATACGAACAGTACGCAGTACGAGAAGGTGCGGTCCCCTCAGGGCCTCAAAGAGAAGGTGGGGAGGGGAGGCCCTCGTTGGCCCCCGTCCGTCTCGACGTCACAATTGGTGGTCAGTCTCCCAGAAAGAGGATCAAGTGGATCCCACGGCGCTAGAGATCGTCTAGAATCCGCGTATTCTGGGCTCGACCTCCGTGCCCTCGGATTCCTCTCATTCGACCCTCGCAAAGCCGTGACGAAGGAGCGACAATTCACCCATTGTAACGAGTGGAAAATGCGGCTCCTTTCCCCCTTTTCTTGCTCCAGTCTTGTATCCATTCTGAATTTTTTATTCTTAGATTAGGGACAGATGTCGAGGGGAAGGTGGGGTTGGAGGGAGGAGAGGCGCGGATCAGAGACCTCGTTCTGGAACTTCTGACCACCGGCCTACGTCGTCCAAGGCCGCCCGCCACAAGCCACACTGTTGAATGCGGGCTTCCTCGAGGGGAATGTGGCACATCAGGTTTTTCCTTGCTTTCTCCCGTCGCCCTACCCGTAAGGCAACGCGGCCAGGATGACTTTCCAACGGTTTACAGGGATTCTGATGGCGACTGGACACGTGAGGTCTTTCTCCCTTGCCGGAACACCTTGCCGGAGAGCAAAAGAAGTGATTTGGGGTAAGATGTGATACCAAGCGCTGCGTACTCCTGGTGTGCATCGACGTCAACCACTTGAGTTTACATCGTCATGATCTACCTTACCCCAAGGTGTTAAGGGTAGGGCGTACAGCCTAAATGTCCAAGTACCATCATACTGGTTGTACACAATTACACCAAAACCACGCCGAGATTCCCGAAACATGACCTCAAAGGTCCGGACCCGGCTTTCTGGTCGGCCGACTTTCTCTTCATCGAACACCAACACTAGCCCGCCAGACAGTTTGACCGAACCTTCCGGTCAACATCGATCTACGATTGCAGCCTTACATCGCGATAGAGTCCCCAGAGAAGAATCAGGCCATGTCTTCAGGCCATCAATGCCAATACTCTAGCAGTAAACTAGCAGCCTTTATTGAATTGTAACGGATGAGGCTGAGATCGCCATTATGAACAACTTCACAGCCTGACCATGGTGAACATTGTTAATCGTGTTCGCCTTCCCCCCTCTGTCCCGGTACATTAGGTAGTTCCTGAATCTACAACAGAGCCTCTGTCTGCTTCCATCAATAGTGTTGCAATAGAGTTAAGCCCCTCACTTCTTTGCCCTTTGTGCTGCCTTTGGGTGCGTCTTGAGTAGAGTGCATCATTGGTAACAAGAGAAGCGCATATTCATCTCATCACCCCCCAACCAGTGGTGGAGTAATGAATCCATCAAGCAGAGACAACCTGCAGCATAAAATCATCATCCAACGTAATCAAATATTATCCTCCATTTCGGAGTAAAACAGCACAATAGACTGTAAGGCTCTACAAGCCTCGATACGCTGTTCAAAAGCACGGCAACATGATATTACGCAATGCAACACAACGAGGCCCAACAAACTCCTCTACAACCCCGCCAAAGAGCTGCGCTCACTCATCAACGCTTGGTGATCCAACTTACAGCTCCCGCAATATGTATCGTACCACTCCCGCAGCGCCTCCTTCTTGCCTTCGTCAATACTCGACGTCAAGACCTTCTGGCCACTGCCACCACCGCCGCGCTTACTCTTAGCAGAACCGCCATCCTCCTCCAAAACAGTCTTGAGCTTCTCGCACCGCATCGTCTCGTCAGAGAGCCAATTCTCCCACTCTGACTGCACCATCTCCCGCTCGATGCTGTTGACGATGCGCATCGCGACGAGGAGATCGTGTCGATATGATCCGAGACGCTGTCGGGTCCGGCGCAGCCGGCGCGCGGTCGCTCGGCTCGTCGCTGATGATAGCGTCGACCCGGCGTCTTCGTATGGGCTGTCAAGGTCGGTGGCGTTGGCAACAAGTTGGAACGTAGTGAAGCTGTGATATCATGTTAGTCATCGTATCCCTGAACCCCAAACTGCCAATCGAGATTTACTTACCAGGCACTATCGGTAGGCCAACTGTTGTTATGGCCAACCGCACCCGTTGCCTCGCCCAGATCCGCCATGTAGATGGCCTTGCTCATCATCACGTTCGGGCCGACGCCGAGCCGCGTCATAAACTTGGCTGCTCGCCTCTCCGTCCACCAGGTCGAGCTTTCTTTGGACGTCAAGGCAATGTTCGTGAACGCGCTGACGGCCAGGACAAGAAGGATGAGTCTATGAGCCGTGACCACGCTGAAGAAAGTCTTCACCACGGCGATGGCCCACATGATGAGCGACGTCACCGCACTCTCGCCAAAGGAGCGCAGCGTTTCCAGGAGCATGGCTGTCAGTGTCCGCGGCTTGATGAGCTGCTTCCTTGACGCGGCCGCGTCGGCCGGGGAAAAGACAACGACTTGCGTCTGTTGCCCAATGTTTCCGTACACCTGGATTGCCCTCTTGGTCCGGCTGTGTGGGCCAAGCTTGCGCACCTGGTCCGTCGCGACGTCTGCAAGCTCTTCCGCATCGCCCTCGGCGTCATTTAGGGCCTGACGCTCGACCAAGTTCTTCGAAAACGTGGGTATCTTGGACCATTCCACCTTTGTGTAGATGGCCAACTTACACTTTGACTTGGCCACGTGAGTGATGACAACCTTGGTCACCAACTTGAAGTCTTGAGAATGGGGAAGATGCCATGCCGTCTTGGTGTGTGTCACAACATACGTTACGTGTTCTTGGAAGACATCCATGGTCTGGTAGTCGACAACGTCCACGGTCTTGGGTCGACCGATCATATCCTTGTAGTCGAATTTGAACTGGAACTCTCGCCTCATTCGGCCATGATCTGCGAGCGCCCAGGGCCCTTGGGCGATCTGTTGAGCTCTCCGCTCAAAGTAGAGCTTGGGGAAGACAAAGCTCTTGTCGCCAAAGAGCACATGGAAGCAGGCCTTGGCACTAATCTCAAAGTGCCGCTCTGCAACCATTCTCTGCATGTCTTCGGGTTCGAAAATTACAGGATGAGCGGGTACCTGCACTTTGGGGGTCTGCCTCGAACCAGGCCCTGCTAAGCGGAGTCTTGGTCCAAACTGGCTCTGGCGCTTAGCCGGGCGCCCAGAATGCGTGCCGTCATCGAACGGCGTATTTGACGAGACCTCTTCCCAGCTTTCAATGCTTGGGCTACGTTTGCTGTAGTCCTCGTATTCCAGATTGATCAGTGCCCGAATGAGCTCTGGCAACTCCATTGGCTCCTCAGATTGTAAGTCGTCGATGAGAAGGTTCATTCTCGCATGAAGGAGCTGGAGATTATCCAGGAAAATCTTGATGGTGATTCTAGTGTAGCCCGTCTCATTGCCATCCTCACCGAGGTGAAGGAAAATGAAGTCGCATTCCTTACCGGGCGCAGCTGTGACCTCGGCTATTATGTCGAGACTGATGGCATATGCAACTACAAGGCCCATTTGTTGTCCATAAAAGTACATGTTGTCCGGAGTGATATAGATACGGCCGTTGCCCGCCAGCCCCTGGCCGTGAGAGGGTGAGTCCTTGCCTGTCGAGCTCGACCAGGCGGCACGGAAAACGAGGACAAGCTTCTCGTCCAGAGGAGCATTCGGGAACAGAATCCGGAATTGGAGATGCTGGATTCTTAACTCTGGAGGGTATCCTGGAACAAAGGTCTCCACGGGCTGTCTGAATGGGGTGTGGGCTTGGCTGGGTTTTGCATCGACACTGACAGTCTTCCTGTGGCCAGTGGTAGGGGTTGGAGGCTTCTCTTCACCAGGCTTGCCCACCTCTCGGACTACTATTCCGAATGGATTTTCTTCCAGCAGGCCAGGGGTGCGAGGACGGCCTGGGCCAGACCCGTAGACAGTGCTCCAAGGGCTACTTCCCCAGTAGTTGGCGAGAACCGAAGTAGGCATGTGGCTCGTAGTGTCCGACCCTATACTTCTGTCGACTGAAAGCATCACAGCCGTTCGGCTGAGGTTTGTTGCTGCGGGTGGCCTTGCCAGCGTCAAAGGAGCCAAGGTTCCTTGAACTGG